TTCATGAATAAATTTATAGTTTTCTTCGCGCTTCGTTCGTCCACGAATTTTCTTGCCACTTAGTAGATACTAGAATCCCATAACGATAGACTAGGATGCTAGGATCAATATGGTAATTTTCTAGTCCACCCGGAGATCGAAACTCAATTGAGCGGGCTATCCGCGGGTCATATGATTTAGAATACTCTACCAAGAGTACGATAGCCAATCTATATATCTCAAATTGATCCACCACTAGAACGTGAGGATCCAGTGGGCCAGGGAGCGGGTAGTCGCTAAAATGATCCCCTAGCGCTTAAACTCCCGAAAAGTCTTAATGGCATTTCTTATCGTATCAGGTTTCGACCATCACTAGCGAGGCCAGGGAATTCACCTCGATACACCCTAATTATAGTGACAATTTGTCTATAGTTCCGCAGCCTTACGGTTATATATAGCTTCAAGTCGGAGTCTGCCCCAGTGAAATATAACTAGTTATAAAGCATAATAGCATGACTTGGCCTAGGCTCTGGAATATAAACTTTAACTTGATCATATTTTGGTCTGAATCACTACTATGACCGAAGCGTGCGCGTAGTTATATTATCCTATGTAGTATTGTTCTCCCCCTCTTTGGCTATCATCTCTATAGCTGTCTCCACAACTGCCAACCTACTATAGATGTCCTCCAGATCACTGCAAATAGTTGCAATCCAGTTGCTCTGATTATCCAATAACTTTTTCATGGACCTAGAAAAAATCAGTATTTGCTCTTTCTCTGGTGGGTCGCTCGACAGACTTCGTTCGGACATCTAGTCTTTATGTTATAAGCAAACGTACTATAAAATACTAGAATTATAGCACTCACTCTACGACACATTGTAAGGCGATCATGTTGCAGTCTCTAGGGAGATTAGCCTATCGGGGTAGTTCTAGTTCCTCTTCAGGTCTAGGGCCCATACTCTGGTTCTATAGAGAATATTCCTGCCCGCCATCCGCTGAGTTGCCATTACGGTAGTTGCTAAAGGAGTCGTTCTCCTGACTAGAGGTCTCGTCCTCTGTGGTATCACCCGCTGTAGACCTTGATGGACTTCGGATGTCCTTAGACTCGGAAGATGATAGGGATAGTGCACGTTATAATCGGCTCCGAAAGCTTTATCGTTGATTATTATACGGAAATTTTCGAATTCCACCCATAATTACGGACGACGCTGGGATACTAAGCGTCCCCAACTATGGTTGAATGTTAAAGGAGAAGTCGTATAGTTTTTATAGAGAGCTGGTTCGCCAAACCGGTGCTTACGATCGGGATTTGCGAGGTCCATTATCTTCCATCCATACTTCCCGTACTTATCGCTTAATTTAGAATATACTTTGACCAATCAGTCACGAAAGACATTTAACTCTAGGGTAAGGACCTCTACCGGAAGACAAAATATTCGCCACCCAAGCCTATTTGATATTACATTATTCAATAGCCGGTGGGACTCGGCCTGAAAACTCATTTCTGTTTTCTTTTAACGTATAGTAGTAACATTCAAGAACACTTTTTTGAAATTACGAAAGTTACGGTTGCTCTTTCTTAAAACTAGGGATATACTCGAACGGTGGGATTCTGAGGGATGCTGAACTACGGAGTCGATATTTCTCAACTCAGACTCGCCAAACCGACTGACCAGAACGGTCCATGGGTCATTCTGATAAACCAACGGTACTATCTTAGCTCTTACATAGGACCACAGAAAGGGGGGGTCCTTAAGGCCCACCTTGCCCATCGATGCGGGATTCAAATTGTGCCATTGTCTTAAAGGTCTCTTCTTGCTACTGCTACTTCATATAAGCGCCATATCCCCACGGAGCGAAGTAGTTTGGTCAGAATGGGAGGAAAAGAACCTTCTCTCCTAGCTCTATACACATCGGGAGCTGTCGTGGAAAGCCCGCTCCGACGCATATTATGAACAATACCGGGTGGTCCGAAGCGTTGACTCTCTCCGAGGGAAAATGTACCATATTCTGCGGAAGCAACGTCGCGCTGGTGCCAAATTGCCTAAACATCCAGGGAATCAAAACTGCGCAGGAGCCGCTCGTCGCGCGCTGGGAGGTAGGAATTCATTGGAGACTCCTCCAAAGAAAAGGCCTGCCCAAAGTAAAATTGGAAAATGGTATCAAACAATTCGAACCACCGAGCCTAGTCATACCGACAGCATTGAGTCGACCAAGACAAAGGGCTCGAGACCAGGTATAAATTCATCTTCGTTCACTGTTTGTTACAAGCTGATCGTTCATATCAGGCTGCGCGACGCCACTACTGAGCCATTTACGGCGTGAAGAAACACCATCGTCATCTTGGATTTGGGACTATGTATATCGTGTCTGTGCAGCCAGGAAGCTGAGATACCGATGAGCGGAACGTCCAAGCTACCAGCAGTTCGTTGGTATGTGCGCTACATCATGATCTCGAAGCAGCAATGGCAACTATCTCGATGAATTAGTGTTGTTGGATGTTGCTACGACCGGAGGATGTGGCAGGTGAGCAATCAAGCTGCAGCATGATGAATATCGATATTATTGTACGTATGAATTCACGTATTATCAAAATATAAACAAGCATCATTCCTTGGAATTCCAACAATAGCGAAAAGTATGGTTCGATGAGTCATGGAATCGCTCGCTCGATGAGAGAATGCGGCTGTCACGAATGATCCTCGTGGAAAGCTTATCTACAAGCTTCTGCTCCACTTGCTTTCTAGGTTGCTCGTAATTAAGCCCTGCAGCCCAAAAGAAAAGAGAACCGGAGGAGAGTTAACAAAGTCTCGGTCTGCTCATATATAGGATATTGGGAAAGGCCAATATTTTATTAGGGAGATACTCTATATCAAGCCGTCATGATCGAGATGCGCAGGGTGCTTGGAATATAGTTTAGGTGCCGCAGGTGGGCCGGCCCACAGCATCGACTCATGTCCTGGAGGCAATCGGATTCTCGGTTTTAAGTGCAAAAACCGGACATTTTACGTAAGCTCATGTGGTCTGTCCATAATTGGCATTTGTTTCTACAAGTTATCTGCTAGAGTTATCAGACTGGCGATCGAATTGGGCATATGGAGAGGACGTGTCGGGCTTAACGAGAGTGTAATCATCAGGGGAAAGCTTGGTGCAGGAGAAGATACATAGCTTCTAGAACGTTCTACAGACCAGATAGACAAAGGGCAGCTTGCCACTTGACAGGGGAACTTGCTCTCTTGTGACTGCAACCAGGATAACACAACCACGGATCGGGTTGTCGCCTACCATTCTGTCGCCAAAGTCAGTGTGATATTCCAAATACTCACCTGCCCCAGCAGTACCTCCTAAGCAACAAAGCCCCGTTCCATCGGACACTGACGGCCGCCAGGTTTGGGCTTGTGGATCGTGTCTGGACCTTTGCAAATCCTTCCGATTTCTTTTCAGTGCCACAAATAGAACCTCCTTGATCTACTGTCCCGTGGGTCCTCGCTGGGATCTGCTTCGCAGAACCGTACCTGCGTCTGTCTAAATTTGCGTGTGGTGTTTGATTGGTCCGTCGGGTGCTATTCGTCTCCAGGGTCTCATCAGTGTGATGGTAGCGTTGCAATCTTGCGAGGGGGTGGCGATCACGAGAACCTAGCTCGTGAGTCTTGGTTGCAACGGTTCACGTGGCTGTCCTGGAAACTAGACCCAGTTTCCTATTGTATGCTTTCCAACAGGGTCTAGACTTTTTGGTTATTCTCCCCCAAAGAAAGACAATCGCCATCCTGGGTTTGAGAGTATGTCTGTGTCTGTCTCCGTGTGCAAGTGGTGAAACTGATTTCGATTGGGTGGCGCCTGAATTGGGGGGGGTGGGGAGGAGGAGAAGTCGGTCTGGGCCTGGAGACAGAAAAAACAACAAAGAAAAAAAAGCAGATTCCCGGTCGACGCCACATGGTGTGATCGTAATTTACACATGTTTTCCCCTAAGTAGAAAGCGCCTATTCATCCCTGGAGGATGATCGGCGATCTTTGCCCGATGAGTGGAATCCACAGACATTCGCTTATCTGGGCCGGAGATAGTTCCGCGGGTGGACCTCGGGATCCTGTGGGTGATGACTCACTGATAGAGTTGTTCCAAGAGTACATACTCGGCCCAGCACGGCCCAACCCGCTGCTGGGTGTTGGGCCGTGCGTTGGGCCGAGTACTATGTTACTGTTTTTATCCGGTCGGTCACTGACAGGAACGATTTTACCAGGATAAAATAAAATAAAAAGACCAGTTAGAGATGAAAAAAAAAACTTTGAGAACAGACCCCAAAACTCGTAAAATCGTAAAATCTACTTTGACTCTCTAGTCTACTCCATTCTAGGTGCCAAGATGAGAGACAAAGAAGGTGAAAAGAGACAGAGCTCGAGGATCCCATGGTAGGGGGAAGAGTGGTACTTTGACTTTCGAGATCGTTCCTAACCTAATGAATGTCTAGAAAACCACCAACTCTATGCTCTCTTCTCATTTGTCTGCTCAAAAATATGGACCAAATGGTGGCGGTCCGAGGCCCGGCTATGCTATTATTTCTTTGTTCCTTTCTCACCACTCAACTTAGCCTGTTTCTTTATCGAGTCAACGCACATGCCTGACCACGAATGTGCTCCACGGGAGAGCAGGGCTTTAGAGCAACACTGGGATCTAAGATAGCATAAATAGCCAGCCTCTTCTTCTACTTTCGATTTCCATTTATCAAACAAAGACCCTTTTACCTCCACCAACATGTCGCAAACCTCAACACTGACCCAAGCGCAAAATCCTTCTGCTCCGGAAGGTCAGCTCAGTTCGCAACGCAGGGCGCATAGAACCACCAAGTTAACCGATATTCCAAATAGTGTATGAGCTACTACGCCAAACCGAGGCTTTAAATCAAGAGCTCAACAAGAGTCAGTTCGCAATACAGGACGCATAAAACCACAAAGCTAACCAAATTTTCTTTTGGTTAGCACGAGCTTTGTTGGACCAGAGCATCTCAGTTAATAAAATAGCTATGGAACAACTGGTTCCTTATTGGGCCTTGTTTTGTACAACGAAGACATTCATTGAGGAATTCATGGCCAATCAAGGTAAGTCTCTCTGAAAGCACCAAAGGAAGCCCGTCCACTCATTGCTCTACTTTACGCCAGAAGCCTTAAACAAGTCTGCTTTCGTTCGGCCGAACTGGCCGTGCGAACAATTACCGCAATGCCTTCTCGATGCCGATAATTATTTACAGGACATCGAATATGAGGTGGCGGAAGAGGCTCAGGGAGCCGCGGGAGGGAGCGATGTTCTTACCCACACGGTAGTTCGGTATCTTGAGAAAATTCAGAGCTTCTTAGACCAGAACGTGGATGATGCTGCGGAAATGGATATTATAGACCGGGCATCACAAAAGTGAAGCCTGGTGAAGAATTTCGCGTCAGGTTTCCTGGCCCAGTGTCGGCGATTTGTGGATATTGACTTTTTGATACGCAAACGTTTTCTTTATGTTCGACTCCGTGAGGACATAGTTATCATTGATCCATCCGTAATGTATGTAGTCCTCATAGCGTGTATATCCGAACGAGATGTGCATTGGACAAGAGCAATAAGATCGGAAAAATTGGTGAACCTTACGGGATGCCGGTCAGTGTCGTGAATGCCTCGCTCAGAGAGCGGTTTGACATTTTAATTCGGGTGAAACGAGCGCACCTACGAAACAAGGGCTCCGAGGCCCATGCTGCATATTGGAAAGCACCCTCTTGTGGAAGACCAGACTATGCCCATACTAACTAGCTCCCTTGCTCTCCCCTCCAAACAGTGGGTACAAATGGCCCATGATAAAGTGAATATCATGATCGACGAAGATGCCCCCCCTCCCTCAGAGCTGCGTGTCTGGTAGCATTTTGTGTTCGGCATGAAGTGAGGCAAAGGGTTAAATTAACCGATTGGTTATTTGGAATTTCGATGAAAAAGAGTTAGCTGCCCCGAATAAAGAGGTAATGGGACTGGGTGCCGAAGAAGCCCGCGTGTTTTGAAATATTGCTTCGTGCCACCGCAGAATTCGGGTAATTGCTCGAATTGTTGGAAGAGACTATGGTGTAAATGACAGCAGGCGCGATGTGGCTTATCGACTATAAATGACTCTCGAGCACAGTGTCTCATCCAATATCTTACGACCAACATGTAAGTTAGTCCGGGATGATCAAGGAACATAGGGACTGCTATTCTTAATCCCTGTCTTGATATTCTGCCAGCTGGTTGAGTACCTTTTAGAGTGGGTGTTGATGTGGGTGTTGATGTGAGTGTTAATGTGAGTGTTGATGTGAGTGTTGATGTGAGTGTTGTGTTGTGGTAAAACGTCACTGCTGTGGTGAATAGTCGGGCGGTGAAGGAGAATATCAACGTCTAGACTTCGCCAGGCCCATCATCAGATTATGTAAGTTTCTTAAATAGGGGGTTCAACTTCAACCCTCTGGAAATTCATCCAGTTATTTACGTCTGTCATTGTCACCTACCGCCATAACCAGTAGTATAGTAGGTAATTGATTATAATAAACGTGTATCCTATTTTTAGTATATTGAATATGTCGTGTTTATAATAAGTTTATTGATGCGACTGGTAAACATTATATTGTGAGTGGATTTGTGTTCAACATATTTTGTAGTCATATATATATTTACTCCCATTATAGTCGCATCACTATTTCAATGTCTTTGGATCACAATTTCAATTTCATTCAGACTCGATAGTTCACTGCTTTTACTAAGCTTGGTTTAACTGAACTCATTCATTATATAGCGCCTTAGGTTCGATTTTAGTAAGTTCACTCGCAAGTGTTGGCGAACTATTCCGCACGTTTCGGACCAATCTCATTTGTAATTATCCAATATATCATGCACAAAAATCCTTGGATCCAGGGATAGCGTCGGGGGCAGCGTAGTCAGCGGAGAATATGTCGAAAGACTCGAAGATGGTAGAGATTCCATACGAGGCCAAAGGGATAGTCGGAAGCTAGTGCCTGTTGCACTAACAGCATGCCAAGTGATTGTGTCTAGCAACTGTCTGCGTACCCGACAGAGATTCCCTAGGGCCGTTTCAACCCGCGGTAGGAAGAAGAGATCTTCTCCTATAGTCTCACTAGATATCCGGTCAAATCGCGCAAATCGAAATTCTATCTAGTGCACCTCTTTAGGGAAAAGGAGCGCTGATATGTAGAGGAAAATGTCTCGAGCCTGAGTAGAGATGGACAGAGGATCTGGACCTGTCCACTTGAAGCCGTGTAGACTGTCGAGATTGGGGTAGAAAAGGCATTCGATCAAGGAAGACCCTTGAGTTTCATATCCTATAGGATCGACTTTGTTAAGAAGGACCTGCCGCGGATCATTGGGATCAGTGGCGAGATAGGGAGGCGGTGTCGGTATGCCAGAAGATTCATGCCAGATAGCGTGAAGGTCGAGATCCAAATCGTAGTCTACTAATGTTAGCACAAATAATCATGAAAGCAACGGGTACAGACCATTGTTGTTCAATTCGTTCATTTCTGTTCTAAGATTGGCCGTCGAAGGCTGTAGGGAAATATAGAAGTGTATAAAATAACAATTTAACGAGGGTTGGAGGAATAGATGCCGTAGGGTGAGCAGGGATTGTATTTATCTTCGATAACGGAAGGTCAACGCTGATTAGGATGGTTTTATGGCCAGATGCTAAGTTCTTGAAACTAAGCGATGAATGTATCAACGGCCGTGGAGCGTTGATAACCCGTGACCAAACCCAACGAGACTTCACCGGCGGTTGCATCGGCCTCCTCTAAGATCAGCGATAATATTTAGTAGAGAACGCAAATAGATGGCAGAGCTATCCAAATGTTATTGTCGCCCACGAGCGCTCAACAACACTAAGACCTCATTAAGGCCTATCAATATGATAGGGTTGGGGATCGCTCGCTTGTAAGGCTGAAACCACACCGTTATAAAGGGCCTGAACCGCAAGCTTTCGATCACGCAACACCACTGCCTATTCATCGCAGAGCTACAGAAGGATGTTGCTGTCGCTTGCTAGCCACTCATATGATTCAAGAAGCTGTCGCTGCTCATCCTCAAGTCGCATTTTCTCGGCAGATTTGATGACGTAGCATTCCCATAGGGAAAAGTACAAGTCAAGCAGCTTGAGAGCTGGTGTAGCAAGAGTGTCATTGTAGTGTAAAAGTTTCGTAAACTCCACCGTAAGGACACGGGGTATCACTGGACTCTGCGCAGTATTAGTACTTTTGTTCGTTTCCTGCCGAAGAGGATATGACCGACCTTGGCTTCGATAGTTGTGCCGTTTGAAGATTGCTGTGGATGGGTTTCTAACTTGGACAGATATTCTGCATCCCGCGATACCCGACGCTGTCTCTTGGCTGGCCGGTCAATTGGGGAAGGCAACGTGGGATAGTCCATTTTGGTCAGTTTGGTCATAACATGTTGATTAGGATATCGTGCTGGAGAGGAATTTATAGACTGGCAAACGCTGCACCGAGTCTATTGGTATCCACCATTGTCCTCCCGGCCTGGGAATAGACCGCACATTGAAAGTGTCAGTGGAAAATTCATTCAACTGTTGACACTCGATCTCACCTGCTGCTCACCGCAAGCTACTCAATATATGCGAGAATGAGCAACAGATGAAGCCTTGAAGCGAGGTATTGCAGAAACCACCTCCTAATGGTAGTTCTTATAGACAATGCGGGAATTAATTCCGATGATGCGGCTTGATTCCTGGTCTGCACCGGCCTCATATCACAACAAAAACAAGTTCGGTATATTATGTTTCTGTGAGTTATCGAGAAAGATAACTCCCTTCAAGGACGCGGGCCACCTCCATTTGCACTTCACTGATTGACGGTGCCGACTGTACGACATCAATTATATGTTGGACATCATTATCAGTAGAAGTCCTTATTGCCTCAAAAAACTTGTCCAAAAACTCCCGATAGTACTTAAGATCTTCTTCCATTCTCATTAAGTAGCTTTTGCGCCGTTTGTCTGAACTCTCATCGATTACGCAAACCGAACCACGCTTGTTGCATTCCAAGCACGGATTTCCGCCTGTGCACTATCATTTGAAACATCAAGAAGTAAGCGGCTAAGTCGGGCGACCTGTTCTAAGATTGCCTTACCTTGGTCCGCCGTCGCTGACAATCTTTGCAGGCAATTGACACTCTCCTCACTGTACCGATGTGTCTTTCAGTGAGGTTTGAGTCTTTCAGTTCGTCAGCGGCTGGCAGTTGAATAGTTGGCAAACGAGGTTGAATGGGCCTGAAATCCAACGCAGACATGAAGCGGCTATATGCAGTCTTTAGCCAGGCAAGGAAGAATGAAAAGGAGAACGTAGGAGATAGTGGAAAGTGAATGACGACTTCATTTTGTATTTTTCTCCAGGTCAGCTGATAGCAGTGAGGCAGGGGGATAGTTTGGAAGAATGGAGGTCAGATGCAAGGAGGCGTTTTCGTACCGTGGGCCGTTGTTGGACGTATGCTCTGAGATTGGCAAGTTTAGTTACAATCAACCATTTGTCTACAGTGTCGATACAGCTGTGGCTTTTATCTTTTGATCACTGGCGACGTCGAATGGAGAATGGATCGACCAATTTCCGAATGACAATATCCATACGCGTTCAGATTCTAGGATTCTAATTTAAACTTTGAGCTCCTGTACCTTTCCTATCCGTATTGCTGGATTGTAATATTACTAGTATTTACAAAAACTGCTAAATTATGGAATCATGTGATTAGGGTTTGAAAGAAGATCTCTATGTTTCCAGTATGGAAGGCGAAGTCGGGCGCCACAATAGCACGGATTAGTCTACCTTCATCAATAGCTTCTTTGATCTTATCACTAGCTCAATTTGGAACACATTGTGGAGATAGTGATTAGTTTATCCACTGAAGAAAAGAATGAATAGCTCCTCAGAAAAAGGAGAGCAGCTTAACAGGCCTGATATCGAAGCACCAGCCATCAAAGTCAATGAGAACATACGCAAGGTACATGCAAGGGGCAGAGAAAGGGGGACATCAGAGTTCAAACATCCCGATTTCAGTCTCTCATTCCTCGTCTGCATTGCAATTGCTAGTCACATTCTTGCAAATTCGGTTGGATTTATTGATGCGCTTGAATGTTTTGGATGACTGGAGACTGAGGTTACTCTGTGGCTGAGAACAGTCGAAAACAGGAGTATAAATTGGCTAAGAGCCCCGAAGAAGAATGAACCAAAGCTGATTGTTATTAGACTGAACCCATGCAAATGACCGTGAGCGATCTGAACTCTTCAAAAATGGCTGTTTTGCCTCCCGACAAACGACCTATTCCGTGTGACTCTTCTCAACCACAGAAGAACCTCAGTCTCCAGTCATCCAAAACCTCCAAGCGCCTCAATCAAATCGACCGAATCCGCGCGAATGGAGTTGGCGACCACATCGCACTACCACAGTTGGTAGTTTGTGGGGACCAGTCCGCTGGGAACAGTTCTGTCCTTGAAGGCATTAGCGGCATACCATTTCCTCGACAGGATGGCCTGTGCACTCGATTTGCAACAGAGATCATCCTTCGACACGAGCCCACGGATATCAGAACCACAGCTACTATCATACCTCACTCATCGAGGAGTGAGGAAGACAAACGTCATTTGAATGCTTATCGCCACGTTCTTCACAGCTTTGAGGAGCTGCCAAGCATCATCGAGCAGGCGGCGAAGCTCATGGGGGTGCGTGGTGTTGATACGCAGGCGGAGGGCACAGCGTTTGCAGCGGACGTTCTCAGGCTTGAGCTAGTTGGGAATACAGGTCTCCACCTGACCATTGTCGACCTTCCTGGGCTAATCTCAGTCGCGGAGTGTGAAGAGGACGTGAGAGATAGTTGAGAATTTAGTGGACTCCTATCTGCAACATTCTCGGACCATCATCCTTGCAGTCATACCGGCCACCAGCGACATTGACACCCAGGGTATCATCCAGCGTGCACGACGTTTTGACGCGGATGGTCTCCGAACCGTCGGAATAATTACCAAGCCAGATCTCATCAACGCTGGTACAGAGGCACGCATCACTCGGCTTGCCAACAACTGCGACCGCACCAAACTCACTCTTGGATTTTTTGTCCTGAAGAACCCCAGCCCGACGGAGCTCAAGGCGGGTATGACCACGGAAGAGCGACGCAGAATGGAACTGGCCTATTTTTCCACTGAGCCTTGGAAGAAGCAGGGACTGGACCCTTCACGTGTTGGAGTTGACAAATTGCGATATTTTTTGGAAGAAATCTTGGATAGACACATCGAACGTGAGCTTCCCAAAGTTCGCGAAGATATACGTCGCCTTCTCCGGGAGAAAAATGAAGAGCTTGATGAACTTGGAGCGGAACGAGATTCTCCAAACCAGATACGCATGTTCCTGACAAAGATCGGCACCAATTACTACAATGTCATCCAAGCCGGCGTTGATGGATTATACGGAGGTCGTGACGCGAGCTTCTTCGAAATACGAGACGGACAATTCTCAGTTCGTCTCCGTGCTACTATCCATATGGAGAACGAAAAGTTCTCTGACTATAGCAGACAGTATGGTGAAAAAAGAAAGATCGTCTCGATGGACCCCTCAGATGGCGGTGAAGAGAAAGCGGTGGACAACTTATTGTGACGAAAGAGGGAATGCTTGACTGGATTCGACAGGTATGACTTCCCTCTAGCGAGAGAAATTACCGTGATACTCAATCACCGCAGATTTATGATCAAACGAGGGGCCAAGAGCTACCAGGCAACTACAACCAAGCTCTTCTTGCCGAGCTGTTTCATGTGCAATTATTGCGATGGGCCCAAATTGCTCGAGAACATATCGTGGTGGTCGCGAAGATTGTTTCTCGGTTCGTGAATGCCGCATTGACGTACGCTATCAAAGATGGGAAGGTTCGCGAAAACATTAGTCTCCTAGTCAGCACCACGCTGGAGGCAAATACCCACATGTTCTGAAGCAAAAACCGACTTGACCGCTTATTACAAGCTCTGTTTTATACGAAAATTAATAAAATATCCTCTGATCATGAAACTAGGTTGCTCGGAAGACGTTCGTTGATAATGTCTGCCGTCAAGTCATTGAACGACATATTCTTGCCAAGTTGGCCGATGCGTTTAGTCCCATGACGGTCAGCTTCTATTCGGAGGAGGAGCTTATCAACTTAGCGGTTGAGTCAACACAGATTGGCCACCTACGTTCTGAGGCCCGCCGGCTTCAAGCCGCTCTAGAGCAAAGCCTCCGTGACCTAGCAGGATAAAGTGACGTTGGACTGCTCCGACGTGGTTTTTTACCTACTGGGTTTTCCCACGTTCATTACGCGAATGCGGGAGCAAATGTACATAAATGGCTGCTATATGTTGCATGCGTTTGATAGAAAAATCACTGTAGCATTATATGCTGAATGAATATGAGAGAAAAAACTAGACTGCGGAGAGGTAAGATTACCGTAATTTCAACGAGCTCATCGGAGGTACATCGACTAATGCAAAGGCTGGCGGATAGATATCCTAACACGGACTATTACACTTTAGGTGGGGCCCGGGAACTAAAGAGAAAGATGATCTCGAATATTACTGTACAACCGCCGGTGAAGTTCTGTTGGGTCTGGTGACGGGGTGTCAACGTTCAACGGCCGTTGATACACCAAACGCGTGGTTTTCGAGAACTTAGCATCTGGCCATAAATTTCTCTTAATTTATCCTGACCTTTTGCAATTGAAAATAAATAAAACCTCTGCTCAGCCTGTGGCATTCCGTCCTTCACAACCCCCGTTACATCGCTAGTTTATAAACTTTCATATTCTCCCTACAGGCTTCCACGGCGAGTCTTGAAGAAATATGCAGGAATCGAACAAGGATGGTCTGTACCCGTTGTTTTAATGGTTGCTTTGTGCTAAAATTGGTAGACTGTGATTTGGATCTCGACCTTCACGCCGTCTGGCAAGAGTCCTCTGGCATACCGACAACGCCCCCTGTCTCGCCACCGACCCCGGTAATCCTCGGCAGATTCTCTCGGAGGGGGTGAGCCTGCACGATATGATATTTCAGGGTCTTCCTTGATCGAATGCCTTTTCCACCCCACTTACGACAAGCTGTCGGCCTTCAAGTGGACGGGTCCAGATCCTCTGTCCATGTCTACTCAGGCTAGCGACATGTTCCTCTACATGTCAGCTTTCGCTTTCCCTAAAGAAGTGCACTGGGTAGAGATTCGACTAGTCCTATTTGATCGGAAAGCTGGCGAGAGTATAGGAGAGCATCTGTTCTTCCTACCCCGGGTTGAAACGGCCCTGGGAAATCTCTGTCGGGTACGCGGACAGTTGATAGACACGATCCATGATTTTGGTGCAATAGGCAATAGCTTCCGACTGTCCCTGCGGCCTCGCATGGAACTTCTACAATACTCGAGTCAATCGACACTTTCTCCGCTAGGTACGCTACCGACGACACTCTCCCTGGATCCGGAGTTTTTTATGCATAAAATATTGGGTGGTTACAAGTGAGACCGGTCCAGAACATGGGGGATTGTTCGCAGACACAAGGAATATAATCTGCTGTTCATGCTGTAGTTCTCCTTTAATTACAACGTCATTGTAGTGTTTCTGCTTCTAACAATAGGAAGGATAACTCCGAATAGCCGATCCCTCACTCTCCTCTTACATTGTCCGGCAACCCTGCCAGATTGAGTCTGGAGGGGTGATTCCAGTCATCGAGTACCCTAACCAGCCTCTCCCGGGATAATTCCAATGCCTGCTCGAAAAAGCGCAGCCGAGACAGCTGCTTGTCGTGGCGAACCTAAAGACCATCTCTCTCTTTTTCTCAGGTGCGTACCAGCCTCCTTCAAAGCAAGGTTGTCCTGCTCTAGCTTCTGGCCATCGATGTGCTTGGACACACACGACTCCCATAGGCGTCTATAGAGTCCGACAAGTCGAGCCGTAGGAAAAGCGAACTTAGGATCGTCGCGTTCGAGGTCGGCTAGCACCTTCAAGATGGGTTGAAAGGGCTCGGTCGCTAGGGCGTGTCTTGTATCTGCTTCCTGTTGGGAGGGGGAGGGCTGCAATGGTCAGCAAGAATATTTAAAGCCGAGTTGTCATACATACCAATGGGACATGGTCGGAACTTTCCTGTGATTTGTCTTTCTCGTTAAGGGTTGGCAATTCACTGGGCGGCTGATCTCCTCCAATTTCCTGGTCTTTCGAGCTGATTTGTGCATCCATCTTGTCCGTAGGAGAAAGTCACGGCTCTGGACAATACCATTTTCATCGATCCTTGGTCTCTCTTATAGAATATGCAGACGCCGGTGTTTATGGGCTGGGTTTTACAATCACCACAACGGTCAACCGAAGCAGTCAAATTCTGACTGGAGTTGTTTTACTTTTCTGCGGGCTGCTGACAGTGTATTCAACAATAGGGATGGTCGGTCGGGGAAACTAATCAAGCCTCACGACGTCGAGGGCCAGAGATGAACGCTTGTGGAGGATATACATTTCAATCAGACACCTCTTTCCCTTTCGTTGAACGCCTCAGAAATCCGACAAATAGAATATTGTAACACTTATAGTCATCAAAAAAAGAATTTCAAAAGGAACACAAAAAAAAAAAAAGGTGTGTCTTCAGGGTCGCAAGTTCAGAAATTGAGTGTTGACAACGTGTGGCCAAGCTTCAACGGGTTGACTGGTCGAGCACGACCTCGCTTTCTCCATTCTAGACGGACAGACCCACAGCTCAACACAACCAACACAGCGCGAAAACAAGGCTAGGAAAAAAGTCCATGATTTCTAGAGATGAATTTGAAGGCGCTTTTCGATGATTCAACGTTGAATCACTCACAGATGAGGTATCAGAACAGGAGGTACGAGCTTGTTATTGCGGACGGAATATCTCCCACAAAGCCTCAGTTTAAGATGGCCGTGAAGGATTCGGCAGTGAGCCAACGTTTCTTGACCGACTCGACTCAACATCCTGTTCTTCAACACCATTCTTACTCGTCTCTCTCACTGAGCTAAAGGCATAAAAATTGTCGCTGCATGTCGCTGCAAATAATTGCGGTAAAAGAAGACATGGGTTTCAACAGGCCTCAATTAAGGGGTGTCCCCCAACGCGTTCTACCAAGCAGCGCACGTAGCACGTAGGCGAAAGGACGAGCCGAGAAGCCTATAAATACGTCCTCTACCCCCGGCAATTTGCTCTACAATTTATTCACTGGACTACGCAAAACCGAGCAGGCTTGTGTCTGAGCCACTTGATAAGTTCTTCCCTATTGATCTAGTACTGAAATTCCCACTGTACTGACATTTATAGAATACATCGTGGATTAGCAAGCCAGACAGTGCCTGTGAGAGATACAGGTATGATTCCCACCAGATGCACTGCCATTCACTCCAGCCGATCCAAGATACGAGTTTTGGGTTAGCTGGTCAAAGTGTCTATGCAAAGATGTCTCCGCTATAGCAGCCGACTGAGCTAATCTACTGTACAGCCTCTATGTGTATTCCCAAGAAAAAGCGCGAATATCCACGTCGCAGGTATGTTAATCTTAGCCTGACCTGTCTGAATTCTACTGATCCGGAAGACGATGCGATTTCAATAGAACCGAGGACATTCGACTAAAATGCACGAGCGCAAAGATCACAGCCCTTTGCTGTCTCTTTGTCCCTGGTCCACCAGAACAGGTGAGTCCTGAAATGTCTCTCCGATCTACAAGCTAATGAACGACAGTGACCCTTGAGGATTAAGCATCCCAGTCAGTGCTCCGCGCAAAGCCATGGCTTACACACTATTCCTGGCCCCGTCGCTTCAAACCACACAGCATACCTTAGGTGAGATATACAAATCAAAGGAGCGGGCTAAAATAGGTACGGACATCCGATTGCGAGCTTCGCTGCATAGAAGCTTGAGACGTCCATTCTTCCTGGTAATGTGAGTGACTTATCGCGCCCTCTGCTGTGCTATGTCAGTTGTTTGCGCAAATTCTTGTACCCCAGAACACGAATACCATTACTGGATTCATGCCATTGTACATAGGAGCAGCCCATCGCCACCCGTGAAAACATCCTTGTGGGGAGTCCTGTTATCGTCAGATCCAGATAAGACCAAGGCGTCACTACGACGCGTGCGGCGGAGTGTATGAACCTCTGGCCGTCCGCATCGCGAGGTCCTAACCCCATTACGACTGTACAATTTCCTGTCACAGGTGGTTCGTCACGCGCTTTCGCCGCGTGCGGAAATTGCCCAGTGCGCTCCAACGCGGCTTTAACGAAGCGACAGCCGCAGAGTGCGTGCGACGAACCTGAATACAACACGGCATGAATGGTGACCGCATTGCTGAAGAACATTGTAAGTGATCTAGTTGGTAAGCTGATATGATCAATATGCTAATTGATCGTTCCGTCTCAAGCTTTCACTCTGCGGAATTTATGAATGGGTAAGCTACAACACCTCGTCCAACTGGATCAATCCTTGCTGACTCGGATCGTACGAAAGGACGCCCCTCATGTTCCCATCACTCGAGTCGAATGCGAAGCGAGCAAATGTATTGTCTTCTCGAGCTCCCTTATACCGATGCGATTATATGCTGTCTATCCGTTCCATATGACTACTCGCATCGACGATGATTCAATGTAAGGTCCATTTCGATCTACCTCGGCCCTTCTCTTAGTCGACTCTGTGCAGCAGGTCACGTGCTGATGCGTGTCGGCATTCGAACATCGTGAAAGAACAGCCTCCTTGTGGATCGAATTTCTAGCGTCCAATGGGCGATCCTCATTGTCCTCGGTTCGCATCTCGCGTCCTTTTCAGTCCTGGAACTCCAAACGACCCGAGGAATGCTGGTGGTTTTGTCTTGCTTCATGGCAGGTGAGCCATACCTTCGCAGACAGCCAGATTGTTAGTCCAAGTCTGTGTGCAAGGAGAAGGTGAGGCAAAGGCCCCGTCATATCGAGCCCACAGATTAACAGTGCCATATCAGCTACGAACTGAGAGAGACGGTCTGGTCCCGAGTCACAGCCGAGCCAACCAAAGAGCCACGAGCTAAGATTCACCGACCGATACTGTTCTACCTGATCCTACTCCGCGTTGCTGAGCCGTACGACGTATTCGAGCGGGTGGAATCTAACAAGCGGAAACGAACGAGCGAAAACGAACCAGTCGAACATATACGACGCTGCATCAAGGGCGCTGCCACAAAAGTTGTGGTGTCTTTTCACATATGTTAGGTAGATTTGATGCCTACGCACGCTCTTTTCTATCCAAGCCCGAGCAA